TGATAGTGATAATTAAACATGATAATGATGATAGTAATAATAATGATGATAGTGATAGTAATGTTAAAATGATAATGATAAAGAAAATTAATAAAACAATAACAACAATAATAAAACTACAATAACAAACAACATGAAGAAAGTAAATAGCAATATCGTATGATAATAACAATGATTGGCCAAAAAATAATACATAACATTAACATTAATAACTTAATGATGATAATAGTAATAATGATAGTAGTGATGATGATAACAATAATAATGATAATGACAATAATGATTATAAATATAACTTTGACAATAATGACAACATTCATAATACGATGATCATGATAACATTGATAACAACAAGAACGATGACAACGAAAATAACAATAATAATAACAATTATAATGGTAATTATAATGAAATGAGGATAATATTATTATTGATAATGATATTTCAATAACAAGAGTACTAATGAGAACAGTAATAACCACAATGGTGATAACGCTAATGCAAATGAAAATGATAATAATATCTTTATAACAATATTGATATTAATGATAATAACTATTACAATGATAATAATAGTAGTAAAGATACAGTGATAGTGATAATAATAATATTTTATAGAAATAATGATAATAATGATGATGATAATGATGATGATGATAATCATAAATAATAATGATGATGAAAAAATTAATGATGATAATGATAATAAACACAATATAATAATGATAATAATACTAGTAATGATAATAATGATAACGATAATGATTAAGTATAATAATAATCAAGTCAATACTAAGATATACTGACAGCAATAGTGATAAGGGATAATAACAACAAAATATATTTCTCACAGACACACACAAAATGGAAATAACCAACCTTATGGCTACTGAAAACGTTGTCATTTACTCCTGCTCGTTATTAACCATCGATTATTCATCCTAAATCACGCTATATATTTAAATAAGATTTATAAATGATAAGGATATTCAGTAAAACAACAACAAACAATGACAATAATAAAGATAGTAGTGATAATAACAATGACAATAAAATGCAAAGGAATAATATTCATATTAATAACATATTCATAAATGAGCGAAGAATTTTCGATAACCCCTTTTCAGCTATATAGCGCTCTTTCCCGATTCTTTCCGCTCTTTTTAGCAGTAGTTAGATTTATATCATATTTCTAAAAGAAAAAAAATATCCCTGTTAGTATGATTATGATTATTGTTCTTATACTGATACTACTTTAGGATATAGATTTTTACTAAATTTTACTACTCAGGTTATTTTATCATTCATCAATTATCAGTTTGTTGTTATCCTGGTTATTATCATTATTATAATTGTTATTATCACCATCTTTATTATGATTAATAATTATTATCATTATTACTATTATATTTATTGTCATTATTATTATCTCTATTATCATTATAGTTGCCATTATCATTATCATTATTACCAACATTATTA